TAATATTGACCCTACTGTATTTAAATATACATCGTGTCGCGTGAGCCGTAAATTTACGCATATTGTATAGAACGAGTTCAGCATCGTATGACCCAGGTAATTAAACAACTTTAACTGCATTATTCTCAAGTTTTCCAGGGTGATAAGAACTTTAATTCTCATTTTAATTTAAGCTTACTTTTATTTTTGAAAGTAATTAATGACTTTCAGAATATTCTTTTTTCAGAATTAAATCAAAAGTTGCCATTTTGTACGTTACATCATTGAATTCAAAAATCTACTAAAAAAATACTAAATTATATATTGGATTCAGATAATAAGATTTAATTATTTTCGTGAAAAGAAATATTCATGATAATTAGCGTACTTTACATGACACACTCGTATCATACTCAATTATCTAAACCATCAAAAATGTTATTACTAATGCACATCCATTAATGATAAAAAATATTCAAACAATAAACAAACAGAAGAGTTATTAGATTATATTGGACAGTTTTATGAAAAGCTACCTTAATTAGGCACGATATTTAAAAATTTTCAAATATAGCAGGCAGGTATCTAATTCTTTCATTTTATCATTCTATGAGATATCTGCTGAATTAAACTAAACAGAAATAAGCCCATTTTCAGGAATACTTCTTAAACCCTCTTTTATCTATAAAAGAGATACGATTCTATTCATAAAATAATAATAATAATAATAACAATAATAAGAAGATTAATAATTGTGATTTACAATGATTTTTAGAACTCTGATAAAAACCGAATTTATCTGTCTTCAAATTAGAATTCTACGGATCAATCATATCGTGTTTTAAATTTCATTCAAAATTTGGATCCTGACAAGGCTTTGAAAACTGTATAGCAATATCGTTGATAATAATACTGTAAATTTTACAGCTTTACGAAATATTTATGTTTTGAAAACTCTATGAAGAATATAATTTCTTTAAAATTCGAATTTTATTTCAGATTTACGATATTACGAACAATTCTACGGACAAAAAAAGTATCAGCAGCATGCCCAAAGATAGTTCAAATTATTTTCAAATAAGCCATACTTTATAAAAGAATAAAATGAAAATAATAAGAGCCTGTACATTGGATAAATGCTACGTACATTCAAATTCGGAAAAACAATATTTAATTATGATATTTTTTTGGTGAATTTACTCATATTTAAAAAAACATTCACCTGAGACTAAGTGTCGCATTTACAATGATATGCTTTTACATTTTTATCATTCAACTACATGCAATAATTCTGCTAAAAAAATTGAAATCTATTATTTACGACATAAATTCCCAGGTCCTATAGTTAAAAAAAATATAAGCTGTTGCATCGCAAATATATTTTATTCAATTGCGCTTGCACGCGAACCAATTGTATGCGGATTAAAATGTGTGAGGCCCAAATCGAGCCTCGTGGCGGCGACTTACGACGGACCAACTGTGATCTTGATCAGTTGTTCATGCTGATAAGGGTGGGTAGTCAACTAATATTGCATTAAGCGTGTAAGGCTTCTCCGCCCATCTCTTTAAAAAAAAAAGCTGTTACACTCGTGAACGTATGAATGTCGCTTGAAAAGAAAAACTAAATATTGATTCATTGTGAATCACTTTACCATCCATGACGGTGATTATCAATTTGTGCGTGTGTGTATGTGTGTGTATGTATGTAGGGTACAAAATTAAGTGTGAATTAATGTATTTAAAATTATACGAAGAGACAATAAGCTTGGTAGCCTTTGTTTCTTCCAACTTGTAATGACCTCGCGGCCACGTGCGATTTCCCGCCAGTTTCACTTATACGATTCGAGCTTTGATTATTGTGATTTACTTTGTATAATAGCTTTAATAAAAAAAGTTTTTTCTGCCAGTTGACTTTTTCCCTTTAAATTAGTGTTTTATTAATTAAATCTTTAGTCAAACATTTCAGTTAACTTCAAAAAAATTTTATAATAAATAGATTGCTATACCGGTTGGATATTTCAGTCAAAACGATTCATAAAATTATTTATTTTTGAATTTCTTATAGTGCATAGAAGAATATTTGTTTTAATGATTATACTTTCACAAGTATAACATTTATCGCAATCTATAGAAATGTCATTCCGGTCAAATACATGTTTGACCTCAACCCACAAATCAACTTTTACTCTTTACAAATATTACATAACATCAAATAAATGATGTTAATTGGAATATAACTATTGAACATCCTAATCCTCTTCGAATTTGCATGTATTAATTAGTGAATTACAATTTCGAGCAATTTAAACTATTTAATTAATCGTACTCTGAATTTAGGAGATAATCAAAGGTAGTAGTTCATATTTGCGTTTATAAAATAGTGATTGCTCACATACGCGGAAACGCAAATTTGCTCAAGTAAATCCAGTTTGTTCTATAAAGACAAATCACGTTGCTTAAAGTGTTAAATGACGAAGTTAAAATCACAATATTTAGTTATAAAACTAAAACGAAAAAAGAAATGGCAAACGACAGAATAAAAAAGTCCAACTAAGCAAATCTGTAGATTTGGAGGACGAAAAAGTAGCTGCATCAGTTCTAGCGTTGGCGGTGACGACGGCTTTTGATGATTAAAGTCACGTTCGCGTCTAAACCGATCCCACTAAGAGAATGGCTTTAATTGCAATTGGAAACAAAGCGGAAAAAGACGAGGAGGCAAAAGAGAGAGAGAGAGAAAGAGAGACAGAATATACTTGAATATGCAAGGACGCATGTCGAGACGAAATTACAAGTACTAAAGAGGAGAGAGAGAGAGAGAGAGACGTCCAATCGCGCCTGGTCATTGTGAGTGTTAATAGTTTGTACAACGGGCACGTCCAACCGGCCGAGTGATTCGGAGATCCGGCGATGCGGCTGCAAAGCGACAACCCACTGATCTCCTTTGCTGTATAACCTATCTTTCTCTATCTCTCTACGTCTGTATTTATACAACTCACTGACTGGTAAATTCTATCATGGGAGATTTTTGCGTCAGTAGTTATGGCGTAATCGATTGTCATGACAGGATTTGCTAATCTAAGTAAAATTTTTTCTTACTTTATCTCGGCATTATTACTTGGCTTTTTTCTCTTTGCTATTTATACGATAAACAAAATTCTGGTAGTATTGCGCTGTAGTTCATTTTATTTAAAAGATTCCAAGTACTAGTAACAAATTAACGACGAAGTTGACAAAGTTGCGGTGTTCCACTTGTTTATCATCTTGAATTGACAAGAATTTAATTAAGGTTAAGACTTGGTGTAACATTTAGCTTTAACTTTAATTTAGTCCTCTACCATGTTATTTCTTGTAAATTTTGTAGGGTAGCGCGAGGCCACTAATTGCCGGATTAGACTTTCGCGAAATTCATTTTGCTAAGAACATACATAGTCGAAATGAAATATGAGTGCTGGCATTTCTGAGATAGAAAATTCTTGGCTGAAGTTCTTAGACGACATATCCAAGTTTCCGCTGAAACTTTTAATCTAGCTTTACGTTCCCAGCGAATAGTTTTCTTTTGTCCACTATTTCTTTGATGTTATTTTTTATTCATCTTAAATTTTCCTAATTTCACGTTCAATTATTATCACCACGAAATACAAAAAATTAAACTAGGTACATTCTAAATATCTATAACCAACTGCATAATACGGTGTTACTTTGCAGATAGAAAAAGCATAAGACTCACACAAAAATTCATCCGTCTTTGTCTTAGTTTTTCGCTTGTCCTGTGACCCTGTGAAGACGTAAGGACAATTTTACTTCGTAGACGATTCGAAAAACTTTCCATTCTTGGTGCAAATTTAAAGCTATGAATTACGAACGAGCGGCAAACAAATTGTCTTGAGGAAAAACAAAAAAGTCCATATCTGATGCAGTTGAAGTTGAAAGTAGAAAATTTCCAACTTTTTTTGAGTTTCAGTTATTTTAACTTCTATCTTCTTTTCAAATCAAGTTCATTAGCTTTTCATGTTTAGAAAAACGGCATAAATAAACTTTATGACTTTTTTTGTGACTTTAGATCAAGAAGAATAGTTAAATAATTCTTTTATTTTTATATGTTTTCTTCGTTCTGTTGAAAAGTTTTCACTCAACTACAAAATCTATACACAAATAAATAGCTCTAAAATATTATCTACATAAATAATTAATTTGTTCCTAATATTTGTTGTAATTTATTTAATTTTTTCGCATATAAGACTGAATATAATTTTTTGCGATCCTATTTTTTCAACCTTAGATTGTGATTTTACATATTTCTTATTGTGCTTTAGAGCATGAGAGAAAAATACCTACCAATGGTATACTTTTAAAAGTGTCAAGCTCAAGAATGTAATATATTTCCTTTACTGTGTCAATATTCTTTCTTCGTAGATTATGTGTGCTATAGATATATAAATTTATGATGCATGTGTCTTGCTCTCGTCTTGCGAAATTAGGACAAACTTGAGAACACCAATATACTAGAGATATCCAGTACGACAGTTCAAAGAAAGTCGATAAAATCTTGGTGTATTCGTTTCACTAAAATCAGTACATCGATATAGACATCCACTGTATGCCACAGATTCTATGTAAACACAAGAGTAAGATATAAACGTTTAAAATCTCATCGATTTCACCAGCTTTCCTATGTTGACTGAACAGTAAAGTCGGATACCCTATGGTCAATTTTCTAAAAATCGCAATGAATAAAATGTTATTGTAATACGAAAGCAGTATGTATCTATCAATCTGAGTAGAAGTATATTATATATCTGAACTATTGATTATATTCAAATCATGAAACTGTTTTTAGTAGATACTGTTCATTGTATCAATGATTTTCCAGAAAACATTTATTGGTAAAAGTATTAGCATTATCATACAATTATGAATAATGAATATGAATACATATTTAGAGTCAATAATTTATGTATTGAATAAAATTTGCATTAAAACATAAAAATAATCATGGTGTTAATATGTTTTTCTCTATATAGGTGTCCTGGGTGAGACATCGAGATATTCACATTCTGACTGCTGGTGCTTACACTTATACAAGTGATCAGCGCTTTCAAGCGCTGCACAAACCAAACACAGGATCGAACAATGAATGGTCTGAATGGACTCTATGCATAAAATGGACTCAAGTGCGAGATGCGGGAATCTACGAGTGCCAGATATCGACAATTCCACTCAAATCCCACCAATATCATTTGAATGTCGTTGGTAAGACAGATTGAAGTTTTTGGTTATCAATTCAATAAAATGACCAAACAATATTATATTTTAAAATGAACTTTAGTTATAGCATTATGAGAAAGATTTGAATATCATATTTGGTACTTCGTTATAGATTTATATTACAATAGTACACAAATTTTTTGTAGGAACAATCTGGCATTTGTGTAAAAGCTAGGGTGTCAATGATAGTTTCATAATTTCAAAGTAATTATTGTATTCGATTTCATAGATAATAAATAAGAATATGTATAGATTTACAGTACATATTTTAGCGATTTCCTAACTCGATTATATCATTATTCTGCGCATCCACTCAACTTGCTTACTCAATTTATATTATATTATAAATATAAAACAATTCTTAAATCTATAATACCAGTAAGTGAAAATTCAATTCTCTGATTGAACGTCAACGTTATAAGCGTCAATCTGAAAGTGAACGAAAGAAAAGTCGGGAAAATCTTTCCTCGAGGCTCTATGCCCTGGCAAAAGCAGTCACGTAGCAATTGTACAGAATGAACGACGCTACCGTTGACGGAAACTGTCGAACAACAAGCTTTGGCAAAGAAGATGGGGAGTGGTTCAGGACTGCCGTATAAAGTTTTGACATGTAGCCAGTAAGGGTAGACACATGTATATATAAACGGCTACTTAGATACACTCGGTGACGATGTCACATATATATATGTTGAAATTCACAAAAAATACATTATTTCAGCGTGGTTTTTGGTAAATTTCCACATTAAATGTACGCTTCAAATTCGTTTATTTTTTCTATCCAATATTGTGATAGAATCTAAAAAGTACTTGTCCTCTTCACTGCGCATTCTCGGAATACTCTCTTTTATTCGTAGAAGTCCTAAAATAGATTGAGAAAAGTACACGTTATTTCGTGTTTTGTTTTTCGAATCTATTAAAAAACGAAAAATTATAGTATTAGTGTGACGTTAAATTCGAACTCTATACGTCAAAATATGTCGAAAAGCATATCTATCTTAAAATTTCGACTCTTCTAGATCTTAAAAGATATACAAATCTCAGTCAAAAACGTCAGTTTTGCAATTTTATTAGTTTTGAGATTTTGTACAGTATTACAATTTTGATAGCAGTGCAAGGTTCCACAAAGTTCTTATTAAATTCTAAAAAACTATAAAAAATCTATAAGAAAACACGCTTCCATTTTTATCGATAACAGCGATTATACGTTCAAAAATGAATGACAATTATGTGCAGTAAAGAACCATGCTGTTTTTGGATATACAGTACTGCATACAATTATAAAATAAAAAAATTAACATCATGTTATCTTAAATTTTACTGAGAGCGCTTTATAAACATTTAGAATAGAGATAAATTAATCCATTTTTCTGTAGTATTGGCCGTATAAAAGATTTGGACCTGGGTGGATTTTGTTATAGTGCCGACAGCGACGATACTTGGTGGTCCAGAGCTTTACGTGGGCGCGGGCAGCACGATAAACCTGACATGCGCAATCCAATTTAGTTTGGAGCCACCTGCCTACATCTTCTGGTACTACAACGATGTGGTGATGAGTTATGACAGTCCCAGGGGTGGTGTGTCCGTCATAACCGAGAAGGGCAATGACGTTACGACCTCTTGGCTACTCATACAAGCGGCACAGCCTTCTGACTCCGGGGAGTACAAGTGCAAGCCCAGCAATGCCAACTCCTCTTCTATCAGAGTGCATGTTCTCAACGGTGAGTATCCGCGCTGATTAAGCTACCCCCTCTTTGCCTCGATCCGTACAATCACTCTTCTGAGACTGCTGATTATTTACTGGAAGCTTTCGTGTAGCCTACTTCGCCGCATGTGTTCGTGTCGCGTGCCATGCTTCTGCTAATAGACCACTGCATTCGCATGTATGGAGACGCATCGTAGGGATTAGCATAATAGATGTGACGGAGAAAATTTTTAGCATATGTTCCCTTTCCTTCGTTTCTGTATGATTGTTTTCAGACGAGACTTAGTATAATTTAGCTCTGAGCTAGAATAAAAAGTTGACAAGTTTCTATTTCTTGGTTATTACCTTGATGGAAGGAAATGAAGCAAAAATTCTCATTGATAATTGTATAACTGCTTTTGAATTATTTTCCAGTCTATATTGCTGGTTAAAACGATTTATTATTCTCTCGCTGGTACGTAAAATGTGAAAAAGAAAGAGGAGAGCGTTTGATAACGACCGCTTCAAATGAACGAAAGGAATCCTACAAATGACTCGAAAAGGTGAAAATTTAAATCGGTCTTGAATCATAATCCAATTCTGTAATCAATAGTACCCTTCTTGCTGCGATTCTTCAGAGTCCGCAGGCTTCTTCGTCTTGCAATGAAAAGAATCAATGAATACGCTATCCGACACAATGGCAACGATGAAAAAAATTCCTCTTTTTACTGCCAGCGCATCCTTTCTCATTATCGAGCATCTAATGTTGGTAAGTTGTAACAGAAAGGGTAAGGAGGAGAGCCGGTCGTAAAATTTTCGATGACGCGCATAAAGACTACGAGCAAGCATCCAGTCAAAGGCCAAAAAAAGGCTACTGCCGGGAAGACGTTGCGGAATTTTCACATTAGATTTACGACGTCTAGCCGCACGTGAACGACTCCCGTGTTCGCACATCTGTATGTACGTGTATATCTGTACATACTACAACAGAGCAAAGGACCGCCGGAAATTGCATTTCGATTCGCTTTTGTGAAAAGACGTGCCACCGTTGCCGCGAGCACACTCGCCAAAGAAAGCTGCTGCTGCTGCTCGCCTTGTATACACCGCTATGCGCGTTCTCTTTTTGTTGTTGTTCTTCTACGCTTCTTCTTTGCCTGCCACAAGTGGTATGAATGCTGCTGCTGGGGCGAACGAGAAAATTTCAGCGGCGTTTCTCTCTCTCACTTTTACAAAGTGTTCGTAGCACAACGGCTTCCCCGCGTTGACACGACTGTGTCACGCCACTTTGTTAGTCCTTTTGAGCTTTATTTTCAGTGCGAAAATGTCTTAATCTCCCCTTTTTGTGGACATAGATACGATACTGAAAAATGCTGCGTTTTTATTCAATTGTATGAGTTAAGGGATGCGTGATAACATGTTTTTTTTTGCTTGAAATGGAGAATGTAAAGGTAGAATGTATAATTTTTACGATAACGAATAAGGTTGAGCATGAGTTATTCCAACATACACAGCGTCGGTAAATACAGGAAGGCATACAAAGTTGTCTTGTGCTTTAATCTGAATTTTCATTATTTCAATAAATTATCTTTTAATTTTTCGAAGAGTCTAATATATTCCAAATGGTTCTCTCGTCGACATATAACAATGGCTCGTAAAAGTAAATTATATATATGTGTGCGCGCACATGTCGGCGTATGTGTGTGTTATTAAGCAGCTTATGTAAATTTCTTAAGTATATCTTGATCTCACGCAATATCAATTCCCTTCGCTTATCTTATCCGAGCCCTAGGCTGTTACTTTTTCTCTCACTCCCTTTTCTCACTCACGAGAGTGGGGTGCTAAAGCGCGAACAAGTTACTAGGACAGAAAAGAGAAGGAGGCGAAGAAGCGCGGCGAATGGATTTGACGGCGATTCGCGCTAAGGCTACGGCATTTGCTTAGGTAAACGTCATGCCTGGTAAAGTTTGTTCGCAGACTCTGAATTTGCGAATTAGCATAATGCGAATGTACGTTATAGCGCAAAAGTAAAAAATAGAATGTGATACTTCAATGATTTCACACCGCGCGACTCGCTTATGCGACTCCAACGATGTCCTGTTATTTTAGTTTTTTTCTTTTCTGTTTGCATGTTTTCTATCTTCCTACAAACAGCATGTTTGCTCTATTTCACATTTTTTTAGTCTCGCTATTTATTGATTGAGATTTCAAAAGCTTAGCAAAACTTGTGAGAGTTAACATAAATATATAGGGTAAAAAACTTTATTGCGGGTTTCACTGCCTTTTTCGATACGATAATAATATATCGTCGCTTCGAATGTTTCTATCAAATACAGTTGGACACACATTAAGAGTTATTGAATTCATAAGAGACTTTTTCCTTGTTTGCTATGGATATTGCGATCGAGGGAAAAAAAAAAACTTTGGATATTATTTTCAGCTACACTATCATTTTTATTTTTATACTTACTTTAATATTACTAGACAATGTCTCACTCTTTAATGATTGTTTTTATTTCTGTTTCTTGAAAATCGCAAAAAATTTTCCTAGGACTTTCAATATTACATTAAAATTTATTATTAGTCTAAAACTGAAGAATGTTGTTTCGGTCAAATGTATAATAACATATTATTTCGTTGAAAATTCCCAAGATTTTAATATTTATAAAATTTTCCCGAGTCATGGCCATTGTTGTATGAAATTAAAATTATTACGTAGTGGATTGTTAAAAAACTGGAAAAGATGTCCCTTGCTAGGATAATAATAGGGACATTGTTCGATATTCTTTCGCATCTCTATTACTTGAATATAACAGTGCCTATAGCACAAAGGACTGCACGCATGTAACATGATATCGACGACTAACGAGTGACGTACAACCAGCCATTTTCCTTCTTTTACAGGCGAGCGTCCGGAGGCAATGCAAACTGGCACAGCGGGACCTATCTTATCATCTAGCTGTTTATTGGTATCTCTCATAATTTTGTACATATCCTCGATGTAAAACGCAGGAGCTAATGAACGAGTATCAATGTTGACAGAAAAAAAGCAAAAACGCAAACGAACTCACTGATATTTGCCCGAAAGTGATAAAAGACAGTCAAAGATTTTGTAGTAAACGAAGAGTGGTGTTAATCAGCTTCGATGACCTTAAAAAAGTGAGACATGAGGCTCGAACAGTAAAGTGCATCGCAAGCAATGAAAAAAAGTAGCAAGCGACGATCTAAACGAACAAACAGGAAAAGTAAACAAATATATAGTTATATATCGCATGAGATTTCGTTAAGGCGATTCTACGCGTTTAACAAGAGGGATATATATGAAAGGAGGCAGAGCTTATAACAGAAAACCAAAGGCATAGGCAATGCTTTTGGTAGAGTGGCTCTTAAAAATCCTATATCTAATTACTTGTACACGCAACTTATACATACACACAAACGTATCTCCCGATATATCTCTGCCATGTATAACGCCATACCCTGTCCCGTTCGTCGTATATAGAGGATACACACTTATACATATAACAAACACTACCGTGCATGCATACGCGAAGACTTTGAGATGAGTGCGCAGGCCGTTCTACTCCAGGGCCTTTTATGTGATATGGATTTGCATTGTGATGTATATTTTTTGTATAAGATGCGTGGGTGTCGTATATATATTTTTTCTTCGTTTTTTTTCAGCATTTTCATTTGAGTCACTGAATGACAGTAATAAATTAGGTTTCACATGAAATTCACACCAAAATATGAGAATAATGAACATTCTACATTTGTGTATACTTCTTGCATCAATAACACACTGATTGAGTTTTTATTACAATAACTCAATTTCATGTTATTCATGGTCGTTAATATTTGAAAGTCTTTTAGTGGAATATCTCTAATTATTTGGATTAGCAATAGGCTATCTAATCAACATAAATTAAAACCGAATAAAAATAAATAAGTTACTTGAATAAGCTCTTATCTTACAGGTTTGATTATGGCATTTACTGGTGTGAATTTCTCGCTAAAATTTTTCTGATAGCTGTCACAATGTGACTACAAAAACTTTGTGGGTCTATGGTTGAATCATAATTAATATAAAAGGTTATATATATCATACGGAGAAGTATGTACGCAAAACAAAAATTAAATATCTTCTTAATGCTCGGTATGCACATTTTATAAATTTAAGTTGTATTCTGTTATTCTTCTATTATACGATATGGCCAACGAATCGACAGTCAGATTGTAAATATTTCAAAGATACTGACATTAAATTGTTAAATGAAAAAAAAACCTTGTTAGACTGAGCTAATGCATGATTTCTTAAATAAATTAACAAATAAATCATTATAAGTTGAATTAATCCAGCTGGATAATTTAGCTAAAAAGAAATTATTGATATATATGTAAATATACTTGAAATTAAAAAATTGTTTCATCAAATTATCTGACATATTTAAGCATTTTTATTGCAAAACGAAAATATGTCTGTTTATTTTATTGCTACGTGTTAATCATATTAACAAAACAATTATCAGACTAAATTATAATGTCAAATTCGTTATCAAATATTTCTGTTAATAATGATTATGAAGACATTAATAAAGTTGTATTGCAGAAAATCGAAGTAAGAGCTTTAGAGAATCATCTATATGATATAACTACCCTGTAAATAAATACATAATGACAATTTAGTTATAGTCTTAGGATACTGTAAGTATATTATAATATAATGATAAGCGAATTCTGCCAATTGATTTTTCGTAGCAAAAATGTTATTATGAAAATCAATTTACGTTGAAACTACTGTAAATACTAAAGAATCCATATAATTGAAATGATATATTTCAAATAGAGAGAAGGAATGTTTTGTGATGATGATGATTTGATCAAAATTATTGATATTTAGGCTGAAAACATTAATTTATAAATTTTTTTTATTGAGATTTCGATTTGAGTAATCGTTATATTAATTAAAATTGTGATAATATTAGCTAATCTTATTAATATTATTAAGAGAAATAAACGTGTATTATGAAAAATCACTCATCTACTGATGCAACAAATACTATAAAATTTTGTTTTATACAAAACTGAAAAATGTCTGTCATTTTAATGTTGAAGTGAATTATATAAACAGTTGATGTATGTTATGATTTGCACAATGTATATGAATAAAAGATTTTATAATAATAAAAAAGTCTTTTTTTTTTCGTTTGTCTAAAATGATTTTTAATTTTAAAGAGATAGCAGTTTATTTTATATTTGAGTTTCATTAACTATTTTTGCAACATTTACAATTATTATGTTTCTTGCATTTATATATAATGAAGAATTGATCAGTTAATATCAGAACCATTAAACATATTTCAATATTGCGGTGTACAATGAAAAGCTTGACGTCGTAAGTAATGCAAATTATCGCTGCCAATTATCTTGCCCAGCTATCTTCTTTCTTCTTTATTTTTAAGAATAAATGCTACAGTAATGGATGAGCTGGGAGTGTAGAGTCCTGATATTATTATTACAAGAATCAAGAAGCTCAGTTTCGGTAATGAGACCATACACACGTAGACCGCGTATCACGAGCACATAAAACGTAGCTTCATCGTTTTCCTGGATTACACTACTGTATTTTCATGTAGATATACTATGTAATACTTGATGACACATTATAGACCATACTCACTATGATATTTTTTTCGTGACAATAATTTAGTAATAACTTCGTGATTGGTATTAAGTAATTAAAGTACAAAATTGTATACAATTGAAAAAACTCATGTCGAGAAAAGTTTCAGTTCAGCAAACAAAAACGCTTCTACGTTATTTTCTCTTTACGTAAATTCATTAGTTTGTTAGTAATTAAAAGCTTCCGACTAGTTTAGCGATAAAGAAACGGAATAAAATCATTTTAAAATGTTTTTTTTTTAATATTTTTCTATTGGCAATTATGAACATACGTAGCTACTTATTTGTTTTATCAGTTGACCATAGAATAAGTGACAAAAATTAAAATTCAATACAAATCGCATGAGGTGTAGTTGCAATTTTGACGATCTCTTATTTTCCACTTTCTTTTGTACGGCTCGTCGGTGTGATAAATTAGACCTGGCATCGTTGAAATATGTAAGAAAAAACGACAAGAGAAAAACGAGGTCAATTAAATTTTTTCTTCTACTTCTCTTTGGTTTTCCATTTCAGAACCGACGCTGGATGGATCGATCGTACGATATAATGCAGTTTGGCACTCTCCGGCTATCCCGCCTGCATTGTTCTGATGGATTTGTTTATGAAACCGGACTTACTGACGTATCCTCTGCTTTCGACATATGTCAGAATACAATTGAGTAAACTTTTTTCACTACGGTTTGATCTTCATATCTGTAATATGATAAAAGGTGAAGTATTTGATGCGTTGAATACCTCACTCTGCCATTTTTTCTTTCAGTAAAGAAATGTATTTAAATAATCATTTGTAGATATAGCAGCAAATATTTATCAAATACGATATACTTTAAATTTTTAAAAGAATAATCGAATAATAGTTGTAATACATGAATCACTAAGAAAATGAAAATATAATAAACATTATTTTAGGGCACCACATAACATCACCAATTTCAACATTATTTATCATTACGTATTTTACGTGGTTCAAGGTGTAGTTTATAAATAAAATGCATTATATACAAATTTACACTGACGTTTTTACCACCATTATTCTAATTAATGTCCAATTATAAGAGTGGTGTTAAATATTGATGAAAACTAATTCAGTGATCATGGTCTACGCCCTGTCGAACTTTCATTGTAGAATCAATTTTGTTCTGTTCATTAACAGTTTTCTGTTCAGTTACTTAGTGTTGCATAATTACATTTATCATTATCGTACACAACCATTGTGATCTTGTCTACCTTTTTCATGAGTACATGGTTTAATTCGATTAAAAGAGCATTTTCCAGGCATTGCTTCAATTTATATGTTGATTTCAACTATTGTTCCGTATCTTGATCAAGGATATTATGTAAACAAGCTTTCCGTTAAACGGGATTTGGAGCTCCGTAATGAGATAATTGAAATCGTTGGAACGATTGCTTTCGACTACAACGTTAAACATTGACCGACAGTGTAATTACCCATTGGCCTCTGCGTTAGCGACGATTCTCTCATTACGGCTACGATTTCATCATACTTGGATAGTTTTGCAAGTGCTTTGAGCGCATTTTGTATCGAGGAGTACTCATGCGTATAATACTGATGATTGTCAACATTCACTGAATTCTAGTCTGTTTTGCGATTTATAGGACATTAGTTACTTTCATTTGGCTCCTTTATTATCTACCAGTAATAGACATACGTACATCAACGCTTACTCACCTATCACTTTAAGTAAATAGATATTGTTCGCGTCAATTACGTTTCTTATAGGAAACTTGCAAGAGAGAAAGAGAGAGAAAGAGAGAGAGAGAGAAAGACATCAAGCGTACATAACAAAAAAGAAGATACAATAGGAATAAAATGATTAGGTTCAGGGAGAGAGAGAGAGTCGTTATTGTATTATCTCGAGATACATCGGCGATCATTGTTGCCACTTCTCTAAAGAAAATGTGAGCGCGTCGTCGAGACGCTTGATTTATTGTCACAGTCTAGGGAGATTCCTCACGACTGTTGGGACTATCGGTCAGAATGTTGGTAATTTGAAAAAACCCAAAACGAACTCTGCGTGTTTTTGTGATGGTCGGCAATCTGGAGTTTCCCGGACTGATGCCCAGTGGAGTGTTCAGCGTGTCGTCCGCATCATAAAAAAAGTGTATATAGATGCCCGTTCGCTCTCAGGTAACCAGAGAGACAGGCCTTGTGAATCTTAGAAGTACCTCCCTCACTCTTTTCTGATTGGTTGCTCCTAAGGGTCCGCCAAGAAGGTGTAGCTTGCCACTTTCCATCCGCTTTCCAGTTACCAAATGATTGAATCTTCACAGTTCAGTTCCTTTTGAAAATCCACCGAAGTAAGTCTCTCTAATAATGAAAACCCCTTGACTTGTATCGCTTAAGAGTCTAGTAAATCTATCACTGCCGCGATAAAGTGCTGCGTACATCATCAACTGCAATCGTGTACTGTGTCTCCTTGCGAAACCAGCGACGCTTATCGAGGTCTAAAGACGAGTACATCGCTGCCTTAGCAGAGGATGCACTACGTCTTCTGAAGTGCCACAGGAATTGCGTTACGCCTTATTACCGTGACACCTTCCTCATTAACATTTGCGTGTCATGCTGGTAAACGATCATCGTCTTGAGTGCCCACTGAATCATCACGTCGGTAACGGTTAACCCTAGCCTAATCTGTATTCGTTGTTGCGTAGTCTCTTCACTGCTGTGAACCTTAAAATTAGCACGCTATCTTAAAGTTTTAATCATCAATTGTATTTAAATTTTGTAGCCATTATATTTGAATGGCTTTTTCCTACTCACGACTAGAGTTTTTATGCTGGACCAATATTCTTAATTTTTAGTTTAATAAATAAACGGCTTCTCATTTGATTGAATCTCACTTTACTTATTAAGTCATACGCACCTGAGTCCCTTGTTACTCTTTACTCTTGAGACTAATTTCTCGTTAAAAACAATAAACTGCGTTCATTTGAAACAGATATGTAGTAAATCTCTGCGAAATTCAAGTCCAATCAATTTCCATGCAAAAAGTGGAATAATACAAGACAAATTGTCCGAATGAAACGATAAAGTAGTGATATAGATGAACGCGCTCAGTTTTAAATGTTGAGTTTATAAAATAATCTGATAACAGTTAGACTTTTCCAATAAATAAAGAAAAACAAATTAGTTCACTACGATTCGTTCGATGGATTTTAGCCATGTCAAGTTTTATTGAAAGATATACTATAAAATATAAATATAATTATATTTATATACATTTCTTTCAATGATACTTTAAAAGATTAAGAGCTTACAAAATAGACAGTAAAATAGTTTGTTTGACTTACTTTCTTGAAAAAAGCTAATTTCGCTTACATAATTTTTTCAGCAAAAACATAAAATATGAATGATCATTTTCTAGTAAGAATTTTTTTCACGTTTATTATTACAGCGATATTGGAAAGTGCAAATACTAACTTCCATTAAAGCTATTACTAAATAATGCTCATTCCACCTCGACTGAGCAGATATACACATGCGTAACATTGTTATATTAAGTGAATTATCATGAAATCTGCATATCTTTGTACGAATTGTTTTCCCAGTTTTATAGTTCGTTCTTGAATACACAGTTCGTTTTTATACAGAGCCATAAAAATATTGTTGGAAAATATTTGTTTTTTACGACGATGCTTTAATGGCCAGTGCACTCTTCTTCGCTCTCAAGCGTACACGTACACACGTGATTGCAAACTCTCAGCACGAATCTCAAAATAAGAATAAGAGGAAAATATAAAGGCTTTAATCGGCGCGAGAACAGAGTATGAGCGAGCACTCGAGTCACGATCTAGGTTACGACTAGCGAAGAGGTCAACCAGGTCACGCCTTTTGCGTCGCCTCACGTGTGTACATACACTCGCTTGCCGTAAAGGCGTTAAATCGTTCGAGATATTTGACGGCGGCGGCAACGGCTGGCCTCTTCTCTGGTAGGCATATTGACGACGCGCCAGCAAACAAATTCAAGAGGCCGGCACTCGTGTCGCGCCTAGCAAAATGTAATATGAAGCTCGTGTCAGCCTGGGAATACTGCACAAGAACAGCTTGACACACAGCGCAACGCCGCCGTGCACGCTTATACTATATATACGTCTGGGCTTCTACTCATTATGTGAGACTTGGGGTGCGTATATACCTTTTATTCTACAAACACGCAGTACCTCGTTGTACGTGCTTTAAAAAGCTCTTTTCAAGTAATTTTTGCTTACAAAAAAGCCCTGCACCCAAAGTAACTGTAGCAATACGAGAATGCGAATTGTTCTTTTCTTTATTTTACAGGTATAGTACACATCTTTCATTGTTGTTTCTAATCTCAAACTTATATTTATAGCTGGTAGTTTGATGAATTGGTATTTGAAAAAATTCAATCTACTTTCTTTTCTTCAAAGTAATAAAATTCCTCAAATTAAACGATAAATAATAAATTCGATTTATGAGATTTA